CCCCCTCCCTCTTTGTTGGATTTAGAGTAGTTGCACAGTGACCCTCTGCAAACGCGCAGAGGTTTCTATTCAAAAACTACGCTACTTATACAAGATGGTCGAGTCATATGTACCTAAGGAGATATGTAAAGTACACGAGTATGAGTCCGTATGATTCAGTAGGTGAGTCAGTAAAAGTCGGTACAGAGAGGGCGAGTCAGAAACACTCAGAGCATTCCGGCAAATGCGGCCCGGGTGCCGGTGCTTTGGTTGTTCTTCCAACACTCTTTCCCGGATGAATTTCGCCCCGCTTGTTATAGCGTGGACTCAAGGGGACTGGACCACGGCGCTCAAAATGGATTCAGGTTTCAAGCTAGACTTGGAACGGCTCGATGGCGGACGATCCGCGCCTGGGCCCTGAATACGTTCGCTAAACGGAAGACCAATCTATGCAGGAAACGCCCGTTCAACTCGGGCTCGAGCCATAAAACAGGCGATCCAGCCTTTTTGCTCAACTCTCTGCTGACTGACGGGTTGGAATTCCATCCGAGTATCGGCGCGAAATTTACCGGTATTGAGTTCAAATTAAGGCATGTAGTCCGAGATGGATCGCACCAGCGAAATACCGCACAAAATGGATGCACATTTACATGACGGTTCACGCAGGTTATGCCCGTTCGACTCGGGCTCGAGCCATGTACCATAATGGACGTTTTTGGTACTGTGCACCAGAACGGCCTGCATCGATTCCTTCCAAAAAACTTACCTCCCCTCGCGCTCGAGAAACCTCTTTTCTTGCCTGCCTGCGGAGTGGAGGCGAAGACTACTCTTACTAAATTCAAACACGCTAATGAATTGTACTTACATGTATCGGGGTTGAAAGCAAGCCTAGGACCGGCTCGATAGCGGAGGGTCCGCATCTGCAATTTATATAAAGGGTTGTTGCGAGATTTGATGCAGGGTACGTCCGTTCGACTCGGGCTCGAGCCATGACCTGAGCGCGCGAGGAGTTTCTTTTTCTTCCCCAGAATTTAGTATCCCTGCAAAAGCGTACCTGCCTCAGCTAACCTGTTTTCTTATCTGCTTGCCTACGGAGCAGAGGCGGAACCCACTTTTACTAAACTCAAAAGTGCTGAAGAAAATGTGGATGGATCCACGTTGAAATCGAACCTAAGAACGGCTTGATAGCGGACGATCCGCACCTGCATCTCATGCGCCTCCCCCACTCGAGCTATATCACGCAGGGATATGCCCGCTCGACTCGGGCTCGAGCCATGCGATATGACAGTGCGACACGAGTTTTTTCAATCCTCTGCTAACTGACAGGGTTGAAATCACCAGCTGGCGCCTCGCCGCCAAATCCGTCTGCCCATGGATCGAATGCGCACATATCTTCAGGTTGAAAGCAAGCTGAGAACGGCTCGATGGCGGATGGTCCGCACCTGCATAATATAATATATCGGCTATAGCTCCCGCAGGTTACGCCCGTTCGACTCGGGCTCGAGCCATTAGTCGGGACAATGTTTTTATTTTTTGACAACCCGCTGCTAACTGATGCAAACCCGAAAATGAGTCTACAAACTCGCACCCGGATTATTGACTGAGCCGAAATGAACTTCAGTCATAATGCGCCCGCGGGAGAGAGGGACCGCAGGAGAAGATGCTTGCATATTATTGTAGAAAGGGCAGTACGACGAGACATACTGAGGTTTGGAAGCAACCCAACAACGGCTCGATAGCGGACGGTCCGCACCTGCATCTCATGAGCCTCTCCCATTATATATATATCACGCAGGTTGCGCCCGTTCGACTCGGGCTCGAGCCATCCAGCTGCATCCAGCCTGAACGCGTTTTTTTTTAAACAACGTTCTGCTAACTGAATCACCAGCTGGCGTCTCGCCCTCGCACTCAGATTGCCTACTATCTTTGAGCTCGTACTTGACTGAGCCGAAATGAGCTGACCTGACCTGCAGCCAAGTCATAATGCGCGCGCGAGAGAGATCATAGGAGATGGTGCTCGTGTATTACTATAGAAAGGGCAGTAAGACGACATATAGGAAGCCGAGTTGTGCCACAGGATACACAAGTGGAGCTGCGCGTCGAGACATAGAACGGAATACGAGGCAGGGAGGAATACTGGCAGGGAGGATGCCGAAGGGAGGAGGAGCGACGGAGGCAGAGTGATGCCTCGCAAGAGAAAAAGAATGGAGTGCGTCGCGCTTGCAGGGCTGCAGAACACTACCCGCGGGGACGGGGGCCCCGGTCAGTAAGTGCGGGACAGCGCGCTCGCCGCGCAGCGGAGAGGCGTCGCGTATGGCCATAGCTCGCACTCAGATTGCTGCCTGTCTTAGAACTGGCACGCGGATAGTTAGCTGAGCCGAAGTGAGCTGACCTGACCTGCAGTCGTAATGCACGCACGAGAGAAAGGCGAGGCGGAACATGTGTTATTGTAGAAAGGGGAGTAAGACGAGATCAGGCAGGACTAAGGACGAGGTGCGCGGTGAATGAATAGACGGAGGAATAAGGGGCCGACGCAGCTACAAAGGGCTGCAGCCCGGGACAAAAAAACGTGGAGCGCGCGAGAGCGCAAGCAGCGCTGGAACGAGTACGCGACACAAGCACAAGTACACACGTACCTCGCACGGCACAGCACGCACAACTCACGCGCATGCGTAGTCACTAATTAGCGTGGCCACGTGCGGGGTGAGGCGGTCGGTGGCGTGGCCATGGCTTGCGATGACCGCGCGCTCACCGCACAACGGAGAAGACACGTCCTGCGTGCAGTGGCGGGACGGAGGGTTCCCGGGGAGCGAAACTGCAGCAGCGCGCGCGCATGCAAGAGCTCTGGAGAGCGCGCAAGTATGACAGCGATCCAGGACCGAGACGACTCCGATGGTAGGGTCGTGAGTGGCGCCCGCGAGGACGGGCATGCAGCGCACGAGCAGCAGAGCTCAGCGGGAAGATAGCGACTCGCGCGCCACACTCGCCGTAGAGTGAAGCAGAACGAAAGAAGAAAAGAGTGAAAAGGTACGCACCACGCCGAACACAGCAAACCTCATGGGCGGCGCCTCATTCCGAAGCCTCCACCGTCTTGGGAGGGCGGGGAGCGCGATATGGCTCAGCATGAGGCGCTAAAGAGGAAAACGCAGAGTGAAGAGTGTAGAGCTGGGTCGTCGCGGTGTACGCCGGGGCCGTCGTCGCCCGCAGGGAGGATGAGGGAGGGAGAGGGAAGGGAGCGGGGTGCGAGAGGAGGAAGAAGAGCGCGAAGGGGTTTGTCGAGGGACGCACGGGATCTGGAAGGAAGGGGAGAAGGAAGGAGGTGGGATAGCGAGGAGCGGGGGCGCCATGAGCAGTGCCAAGGCAGAGTGTGGCGAGACGGCCCAGCGCAGCCAGGGGAACACATCCTCCGCCTTGACGCCCGCAGCGAGCATCGTGGGCTGCCCGCCTTTGACGCTGGGCATCGAGCCGTGGGTGTTGTGGGGTACGTGGGCGGGGACGAGGGCCGGCGGGGTGGGCGACGGCGGGGCGAGCGCAGCACCGATGTGGTGCGCCGGGTCACTGGTACCAAATTATCCATTAGTTCCAATACTTGAATCTAACAGAAAGAAAGACGCACTCAAGCGGACCCTTGGGCTTTGGGCGTGCGGTGGAGATCATGCCAGTGGATGGCGTGGATTGACAGCAGATTTTCAGGTGGGGCCATCATTTGGGCCATCATTTTGATCAATTTAGGGTCATGAATGGAGCACGTGTCAGGGACCGAAGGCGACTTCCGCGGCACAGCCTTGCAGAGCCGACGGGCCCGCCGGCAGCATCCGTGCTTCCGCAGCAGGGTGTAATTACGATGACTGCAGGCCGAGCCGCAGTGTTTTGGTTTTTTTTCGCAGAGGGGATGTTTTCGGGCGAGGTTTCTGCGCGAGGTGTTTGTACAGGCTCCGAGTCCGAGGTGTTTTACTCTCGAGGTAATTTTCGTGTAAGCTTGTTCTCAAGGGCCCAGATTAAATTACCGAACGGCGATAGCGCAGTATGCAGTCCAGGTGAACTCATACAATTCCAACTGGAAATTTGGTGCGCGCGCACGGATGTCCCAATCCCGATGCACCCAAAAGAGTGCACATATATTCAGGTTCCAAACTAACCTAAGAACGGCTCGATAGCGGACGGTTCCGCACCTGTCGCCGTTGGTTATTTGGATCGTGCATGCAGGCGCCACCCGTTCGACTCGGGCTCGAGCCATGAAAGGTTATCGTGATAAACTCTATTTAAATAGCGGTTCCCTCGTGATCATGATCTAGAGCGCCTCGAAGCACCCCTGCAGATAATTAAACTTCTCCCTCTCCCTCGGCCAGATGTCCTGGATCTAATGACGGCACTCACTCACACAATGAATGCACATATATTAAGCGGAGGACGGTTCGATGGCGGAAGGTCCGCGCCTGCATACGTTGAATGATTAAGGGAGAGGTCTGTGTAGGAAACGCCCGTTCGACTCGGGCTCGAGCCATCCGACATCCTTCTCAAGGGTTATTTTTAGCAGCTTGCGCTTTACTCAAGTTTTCCTCTATTCCCCTCGTATGTATGCCCTTTTCTCCCGCCTGGGGAGATTTACTGTTCTGGTTAGAGAGCTGAGTCAAGGTGGATGTCATGATAGCACTCACTAAATAAATGCACGTATATTCAGGTTCCAATCTAAGATTGTATCGGCTCGATGGCGGACGGTCCGCAGATGCAACACTTATCACTGGACAGATGAGGTATTGCGGGGGTGCCCCTTCGACCCGGGTTCAAGCCATTCTGCTAGCCATTCTGCTGTTCAAAGGCCAGTTTTCTTTTCCTTTTTCTTGTTTCAGCAGGCCCCAGATATGCAGCCCCCCTACGCGGGCTCCTCCCTGAATAATCGCCCTTGCCTACCTCCCACCTCGGCGGTGAATATCGGGTGTGCCTAGACCGGGGGCAAAAGACGTAAGTCCCACACTTGATCCACAGCACTGACAAGGCCACATGCAAGTGCATATTGTGTCGGCTCGATGGCGGACGGTCCGCACCTGCATTCTGTAAACGGATGAACATGAAGATCGTGCATGCAGGCGCCGCCCGTTCAACTCGGGCTCGAGCCATAGAAAGTTATCGTGGTAAACTCTTTTTAAACAGCGGTTCCCTCCTGATCATGATCATGATCTAGAGCGCCTTGAAGCACCCCTGCAGATAATTAAACTTCTCCCTCTCCCTCGGCCAGATGTCCTGGATCTCATGACGGCACTCACTCACAAAATAAACGCACAGGTATTCAGGCTGCAAGCTAACTTTGGAACGGCTCGATGGCGGACGGTCCGCACCTGCAACACTTATCAGGTGAAAATCGATGAGGGTTAGTGCGGGAGGTGCCCGTTCGACTAGGGCTCCAACCATTCTTCTATCACTCCGAGGAGATTTTTGTCTGGCGATGCGAGCTACTGAAAATAACGCAGTTGAGAGCAGTTTCTGTGACTTCTAGCAGAATGCGGTTGCTGCACCGCTGGTGTTTCTCCAGCTGCCCGGTACTGCCCTCAGTACACAGACTACTGTACTATTACGACCAAATGCTCAGGTGACGGGTGACGGAGGGTCGTGAACTGAACATTTGGGACGTAGGTGACGGTGACGTTGAGGTTTCGAGGCCTAAATAGGCCAAAAAACGTCAAAATTTCTCGCCCGGCGGATGCCGGGCATCCAGATATGGTAATTGTTGATGATTGCCGAGAAATGAACACTCGAAAGAGTGAACACCTTCGGTGACGGGTGCCACAGTGTGAACATTCGGTCTTAATAGTACAGTAGAGTGAACGGGAGTCCCATTCTCAACCTGAAAGAAGTCGACAAAATGCAGGGATATTGAGCTTCCAAAGGAGCGTAGTATCGGCTCGATGGCGGAGGGTCCGCACCTATGTGCAATCATAAAACCACTCCCTTGCTAATGCAAGAGACGCCCGCTCGACGTGGGCTCAAGCCATATTGGGTGTATTCGGCTTTTTTTCCCTTTTTTTTTTTTTTTGACGTACCCTCTGCTCCCTGACAGGGTTGAAGTCCCCGAGCGTCGGCGTGAAATTGGCTACAGTGGCTTCAAATGTTGTGGAAATGTATTCAGCCTCGAGGTGCAGGTGCTATTGGCTCGATGGCGGAGGGTCCGCGCCTGCATCGTGCATCGTGTAGGCCCCGAAATCAGATGACTGCAAGACGGACATGTCAGGTTCAATTGTCGGAAGCCGGCGGATCACCTCGGCTCCCGACATCCCTCGGCACAGCCCGGTAATTCTTGGAATTTAAGTGTGATCATTCTCCAGGGACTTATATCGGCTCTGGTATGCAGTGACTGTCTAATTGGATTCTCTGGAGGACTCCCTGCATTTTTCAAACCTTTCGCGGGGAAGACTGCTCGGAACATTTCCCAAACAGTTCGAGGTGTCCCTGTGGTTTTGCCTTGGGTTTTGCTGCTCTTGAGTCTTGAACTGTTGCTGCTTTGAACAAGATGGTTTCCATTTTTGGACTCGGCAGAGGCATAACATCAATGTTCTGATCAACGTCTGATCAGGCTGAAGGGAATCACCCTGAATGCCAACTCCCTGGTTGTCAGCACTTTCAAGAATTTAACCGAAGTTGTTAGCAAAAACCGTGTTTCCGGTGGTATATGTGCCATATCAACGACGACAGTCGCATTGGAGTGAAGCATATCTTGCCATTGTCATAAATACATCGCTGAACTAGCTCATCGGCGGACCTTTGGATCGATACACTCCTCCCATAGTGTTCCATGAACAAAATGACTAAAATCCAGTTTTGTTGTGCCCTCCCGAGTGACGACGAGTGAATTTTGTGGAAAATATAAAGCTTTACGAAGCCAAGGGGGGATCCAAAGTATAGGTTGGGATACTGAGTTCAATATCCATCCATCTTTGAGCGTCATCTCCGAATGAATGGTGCGGAGTAGAGTCGAGATGGATCTGTTGAGAGATCAGACCTGGGTCAGTGTGGGTATCAACTACGACAGGAGGTGAAAGCCAAACCTCAAAAATACGAATTGCACTATCTTTAGAGCCAAAGGCGACCCATTTGCCATCGGGGGAGAACGCGACGGAGGAGACCAGTGCACTGTGCCCTTCAAATGGTCCAGCGACACAAACCCCAGCTTGTGCATCCCACATACGCACGGTTCTGTCGAGGGAACAAGACACAGTCCATTTCCCGTCCTGAGAGAAAGTGACTGATTCGATGTTACTACTATGCCCTTGAAGCGGCCCAGGAGTGAGAAACTTTGTGCGTGCATTCCATATGCGTACCATTGAGTCAGATGACCCCGACACATAGACTCGTGACCAGTCTGCCTACGAGGAGCAAAAAAATGAGGTGCTTGCCACACTTTTTGCCATTCGTAGGCAGACTGGTAACGAGTCTACCCGACACAGCCCGCCCACCGTTAGGTGAGGATGCAAGGCACAGCGTGACCTTGGAAGGGTCCACTGACAAGTCCACCTGTTAGTGCCTCCAGCACCCATATTGTGCCGTCCCTGGATCCCTCTATAACATGTTCCCGGTCAGGCGACAAAGCCAAAGAGACGCCCAGGCCTTGCTGTGTGGATTTTGTTTCTTGAGCCTGCCGTGCCCTCCTTGAGCGCGCAAATTCTGGTCCCAAAGTCCCTCCCATCGGTGAAGGACACCTCTCGAGACCTGCGATTCTCTCTCCTATCGAAGAAACGAAACCACCACTGATTGGATGCTCTCTGCTCTGCTACTGCTTTAATGTCCGCCCTAGACTGCCATAACCTGCGCGAGGTCGAAATCAGGTTCTACGACGGAAAGCCGCTGTTTGCCTCCATCAGCGGCCCGGTGAGTTTCTTGATCGCGGCGAATTGACACCCATTGGGGATGGCTGACCCGCGCAAGTACCTGACAAACATATTCAAGATGCTGTCCGGGTGTCCTCACCTGGAGCATCTGCGCCTTGCAAGCGAGATGCGGGGCCCCGTAGCGGATCTTTCAGCGCTTTTCGCTAATATTTAATGGCCACATGGAAGGCGCTTCATCATCGAAGACGATCTGACCTTCAACTCTGACCCTGCCGCTACAGCCCTCCTCTCCCGGGACCTGCAGCTCGAAATGCTCTCGCTTCCTGAAGGCCTCGACCTGCTGCCGCTCCCGCACCTTCACTGGCTCTCCGCGCCATAATTCTTCGACGGAGGATTCGCCATTATCCCGGAGAATCTCCCACTGCTCGAGTACGCCGCTATGACAGACGCATACTGGCGAACGCAGACAGACATAACGGAGGTCATTAGGGTCCTCCTCGCGCTCACCGCTCCTCGTGGCGCGACGCTGTCTTTCATCACGCCGTCTGCACTACGCAAGCTTTCCGTCGAAATCTCATTGTTCTCGCGGGCTCGCCATGGAACCCCGACCGCACGGGCCGCAGGTTGTCCTTTTTTGAGCCCACCAATTCTCCCTCTGCCTCACAATTAACTGTTCTCTAAACGATTGGCTACTTCCTTCACAGTGCGTCCTACGTATTTGACCCCAGTCTATCCTCTCTTTTTCTTCCACTAGCATCGCTGCTGAGTCAACGGAGAAATTAGTGGGTGGGGGTCGCTCTCTTCCTTCATAGTAAGTGGCACGGTCGCAAGACCCAGGATCGCCTCGATAGCGGTAGGAATGCAGCTCCATCCTATTCATGGATCTTGCAGCTGGCTGCCCGTTCGACTCGGGAATAGGGATCGAGCCATCACAATGTGGTCAAGGTATTCTTTCCTTTTTGCTCCGCCGCCCCATTCGACCTAGAATCCTATCCCCGATTTATTCATTCGTGGAATGCGGGCGTTACCGAAGGCGCAATTCACTTCTGATTTTCCGCGGAGATAGGCGGTAGCGCCCCTCGCGGCTCATGGTTCATCTCCACAAATCTATCCTCATCAAGAACCAATCAATTTCAGTCTGCCTACTTATAGCACCAATGTAGTATGACATCTCGCAGTGCGTTCACAATCAATGTCCCTTTTCTCAGTGCTTTCGTAGCTGCATCCAGGGAAACTCCAGATCATTGTGAGCTGCTAATCTGCCATTTTTCATTTTTCATTTTCGAATACCGCCATGTCAGTTCATGTCCTCATCCGCGCCAACATGTCACTGTACGTGAGTGATCTATGCTTCAAGTTGGCGGACATAGCTTAGCTCCATCGTTGCTATTATCTGCGATGTCAAATGAATGACTGCTCCGATGCTGCTCACACGACGCACTTAAAGACTCGAATATAGACCACCCCTCTATCCACAGCCGGAGTAATAACCCAAAGAGATGTAGATGAAACCCGAGGATTCTGGGAATACAAATAATGGATACTGGGGTGCAATCGGATCATATAAGGATGGCACTTGGGTCGACGCTGTCATCACGACAATGCCCTTTCAGCCCACTTCCGCGACAATTCGCCTGAACAATATTATTGACTCCCTCAAAGCCGCTCTCACTACTTTGGATGTGGTTTCCGAAGGCCTGAGGGCTCCATTCTTGGAACTTATTTCAAGCGTGACACGGTCTCTGTTGGCTGCTGTCCAGGTGATTTTTTTAATACAATATATCCATCCCACTCATTCTTACTGAAGTTTGTCAGACTGTAAAGCGGAATCAAGATGACTGTACACAGATGCTGGAGCAAATCCACGAGCTCCTCCATGCCATAATTTATGTTCATGTAACATCTGATACTGGCGGTAAATTATCGCCAAAAATGATAGACAATTTGGGGAAATTTACAGAGTGAGGTTTGCATTTTCACTCTGACAATATGAGGACTTACTCCCGTAGAACTCTGCACAAGATCCATGCATTTGTTGAAGCAGTGCAGGAGAAGAGCAAGATCAAGCATTTTTTCCGTCAAGGTGACATGAGGGCATTATTAAAGGAATGCCGTCTAGGACTAGAACAAGGACTCAAGGTGTTCAAGGCAAGGAATTCTTTTCTGTTCACTCAGTATCTTCCGGTGACAGAAATCCCTCAGATTCAGGCTGTCACAGTTTTCAGCGATATGGGAGCAATGCAGAAAAATGCACAGACAATGCACCAGGAAGTGCTTGAGTTAATTTCAGCCTTTTC